CGAATTCATATCAAATACCTCACCTTCTCAGTGAGTGTCCCAATCATGAGGGTATTGGATGGTCTAAGGACTGATTCTCTTACTTTCTTTCTTGTTGTTTTAACTGTTATTTTGAAAGATCTTAGTTTCAGCCTGATGCAAAATAGAAAAATATTCCTGTTTTCATGAGACAGAAAAGCCATTTCCTATCCATCCTTTGTTGGACTTGAAGAGAAGTGAATCTTGGAATCTCTTCTTATTTTATCCAGGCTGGTTTACCTGTCTTATTACAGGGAGCATGCTCTCAATCAGCTGTGCAATAGCTGCACTTTAATAGGGTGTACCTGAAACATTCAGCAGTCTCAGTCTTCCTTGAGGTACCATGGATGGTTGTGTGCCACGACATCAGACATCAACCAAGCAGTTAGTATTTTTGCAGTGCTTTGAAAACCTTCTGCTTTCCATATGTGTCTTGCCCTGCCTTGTGAAAAACCCCTGCAGTGTGAAGAGAATATTACCAAATTTCCAGGATGCATCACAGGAAAGAAAAGTGCTATTTACGATCTAGTACATGCGTGCATGTATGCACATCCTCACTTGCTCACTGTCCAGGTAGCTAAGCACACTAGACAAGCAACCTACCACATCCTGGTTGAAATTCAATTCAAATCTAAAAAAACAGAACCAACTTGGTTCTCATAAACATGGCCTGTGTCCTAGTGAGAGAGGAAATGTGTTAAAACATCTTGGCAGCTCTAACCAAGATTTTCATGAATGTCCTCTTCATTCTTACCCATCTCCCAAGGCTTACCCTCTGTGACAAAGCCAGCTGGTATAAACCACAGCAGCTCTGTTGAGGTTAAAGGAATCAGGCTAATTTATATTAGATTAGAATCTGGGTTGTTCTTTTCCAAATAATCTTTATATAAATAGGCAGGGAGGTGCCAGGCAGCGTGCTGCAGCACCACTGCTCCAGTGCCAGTAAGTAAGGGGTCGAGGGGTTGGAGGAGGGGGGAGAGGACTATGGGGAGGGACCCCTGCCAGCCCCACCCACTCCCCC